GTTATAACTCGGGTTGAAGGTTATAACTATGGTTGAAAGTTATAACCATGGTTGATAGTTATAACTAAATTAACTTTTTGACCAAAAAGTTGATCGGTTATAACTCAAAAGTTATAACTCGAGTTATAACTCGGCTAGTTTTAACTCCCACACTGCATATAACACAAAAGAAAACACCTATAAAAGCTTCAATAAAAAGTGAAAAACGATCAGTATTTATGACACAACGACAATTACATTGTTTTTTGCATTTTTCTCAAAATCAAGTTTTCTACCAAACAAGTAATGTTTTGTCTCCATTTATTCAGCATCGAGTTGGATCATTTTTCACGTATACTGAATATAATGCAGTGAGTATACTGTTTTTTTTTAATTTAAAAAAGTATTGTTCCGATGATTTTTGCCAACTGTTGCAAAGCTGCTCTTAGCAAAAACATAAGCGTTTTTTAGTACATCATTTTGTACTTTTGAAAAGAATTTCAAGCTCGATCGATCATTGGAGTCATTTCAGCAATGATATCTTTCATAGTGAAATGAAAACATTTGATCAAACAAGTGTATTTTTAACATAAAGCTTTTGTTTTCATATACAAATGCATTTATTAAATAAATTGACAGTGCTTGTGTAAAGATCAGAAGCAAAGTAAAGAAACAGATGATATTTTTGTTTTCAAGCAAAATACAACTTTACAGAATTTCATTATTAACGCCTATCAAGCAGAAAGAATTATTTTTGACCCAATCCTTTTTTTCGAATTTTACTAAATATAACATTAATTATTTATATTCATATTTGATAACTTTTTTGTGTACTAAAAAATGAAAAGAAGAATATATATAATTCAACAAAGACTTCATTGATTTTTATCTGTAAAAGTTAATCGATATTTTGACTTGGCAAATGCATCAATACTTGTTTCCATCTCTAGTTATTGAATGATTTTTTTATGAATACTCATAGTAGCTAAACTATTAAGCCTTTTATCACCTGTCCTACTATATAAATAAGTTTTAATTAGCTTCATGACAAAAAATGAATCCTCGACAGTAGCTAACAACACTGATATCTGACATCTAAATTTGGATGTAGACCCCGATTGTTGCATTCGATTGCTGGAATAATGTAATCTTTATGATCAGAATTTGATAAATATTCAATAGAGCCTTCTCATAATCTTAATCACCTATTCACAAAGTGATCGAGATTTTTATTTATATCTTTCCTTGAAAAGAAAACATAATACTCGCTATACACTCCTTGATTCACTTCCAAAGATACCAACCATAATAGTTGACAGACTGATCGAATTATTTCCGTCTTATTTGGCGTTTTCAAAAAATATAAGTTGTTGATGGAATCTCTAGTTCTGATAACAATTGATATGATAATGAAAAATCTCTAATAGCTAGTTGATTTGAAACAGATGACTCAATATCATCATCGTTGATTGGTACATAAATAATGATGGTAGAATATTGATTAACAGACAGTGAAGAAATAGTAGTTAGAACTTCTTTGTTATTATCGGTTTGGATCTTATTGTTGTTATTGGAATAAAAGAAATTATCTGCTGCTCTGAGAGTAAGACATTTAAATTTTTATCACCCTTAATTTTTTTGTTCGATATAAAATATCGATTGATATCTTTTTATTTTTTTTACTCATTATTGTTGATAAATATTTGCTGAGAAAATATTCCGTTGATACCTTTATATATAGATCATAAAGTATAAGAAAATACTTTTAATTATATACATCATTCATATAACGGGTGAGCCATAAATAATTTCACTTTTAATATTTTCCAAATTTTCTCCCTATTATTGGCTTGATTAAAACCTCACTTGCTTAGCAAAAGATCGTCCTTGAAATTCTGCACAAAATGGTATATTTCATTTCACGAATATAATCTCCTTCATTTTTTCGATCAAACGTAAATAGTATAGTAAAAACAAGTATAGAATGTAAATTTTTTTCTTTTTCAATTTTTTTGAACAGAATGTTTCATTTCAATGGATATGAGTCAGATAAATATGGTGGTCAACAGTTCTTTGAAATAAATGCAGAAAAGTGATTAACACACCGTTTTTTGACTTTGGTAATATCTATACACCTTGAAAATGTTCTGCTGACATACATTTTACAAAGCCAGCCTAATCAGTGACATTAACTCTTTGATCTCTTTATGTATGAAAAATAGCCAAGAACTTCGTGCAATAGCAACAATACGTACTTTGTTTCAATAGATAATTTTTTTTTTATTGACATCTGTTTCTGATAAAGAGAAGCGCTAGTTTATCTCTGACCTAATAAGTTACTTTCGACATGGATTTGGAGGCCTGCGACATTGAAGGAATCATTGCTATTAACTATTGTTATCCAGAAATTATTTTCTTGCTTTGAAAATACTCTGTTTACGTAGATCAGAATGAATTCTTTGTTCATTCAATGATGATTTTCATATTTATTTTATACAACTGTTTCCATGCCTTTACATTTCATTTTTTTAAATATATATAAAACAAATTTTCAAAATAATAATTGTACAGTATTTTATACAGAATTTCAAATACTATTTTCTAATAAGAAAAAACGTTTCGATCAAGCGAATAATACAGAAGAAATTCTGAATATACTATGAATGTTATTATTTTTGGCCCACCCGTTATTTTGACATTAATTATAATAAACAAAGTGTCAGCACCAATAATCAGTGCATAATTAACTGTCAGACATAAATGTCGGTGTAAACATAAAAATTGTAAATTAATCGTGCAACTTTTCCTTGCAACAAGGAGATCGAGTCTCTCAATTCTTTTCTCTATGATCATTTCTTTTAAGCAATCAAAAGAATCTGTAATCGTACTACTCAAAATATTACTGATAGATTGTTAATTTCTTTTCAATAAATCTTATCATTAATTCTTTAACAAATTACATTATACAACACAATATTAGAGAAATATCTATTGTCGCTGATTTTTATATTGGTTAGTGTTTTATTTTATAACCTTTTTTTATCGCATACAATAGATATGTACAAAAATTCGATAAACTTCAGAGATCACATAATCAATGTAAAACACAATATACAGAGTAAGTCGTAAGACGCAACGATAAAATCAGTTAATATACAGACAGAAAGTAATCGTTAATTGCATATTTTTATACCAACCTTGAATACTTGTGACAGTCTTTTAGATAACATAGTATTGAGTGGTGCCTCGTCTTGTAATTATAAAAATAAAAACATAATAATTGAGGATAAATTTTTCGTAATCAATCAACATGATGTATTAGTTACAAAAGAAAAACAAACAATCTATTTTATAAACACATATATATATATATATATATGTCAATTTGATTGTAGAATAATTGCATTTCACTATCACGTGTGTGTTATTTACGACTTTTTATTTATTCACCAAGTCACTTTGAAATTTTACCAATTTTCCTTTCACAATTATAAAGTTTTTTTTTTTTAACTTAGTTCATAGTTATTTAAAGTCTGAAATTATTCTCTTCATACTTCGTCCTATAATATTTTACATATACTTCTAGCGAGCATACACCGACAAATGTAGTATTACCTTATTGAGATTAACTTCAATTATTAAATAATTTATAAACAGTTCAATAATACAATAAATGTTCTTTATATTTTACTTTACATATTAAATTTGCATATATTTTATCCATTTCCATCCAGTTATTGAGTATATATAGCTTGGTTAAAAATGTAACCAGTGGCTCAAGGTGAGCACCGAATAAACAAATAACATAAATAATTATTGGTTTCTTTTATGATATTTTTTATAAAGCACTTGTTCAACGCTTCACTAAAAAAAAGTCGTTTCAAAAAAAAAACATCACTTTGATAGAATGCGAAATATTCATCCTCGCATTCTCATGTTTACATTTTTATAATTACAAAAAGACATACCATCCATATAATATGTCATTTGAAAGATTGTTACGAGTACATAAAGCTCATATAAAAC